ACCTGTGAATAGATCGAAGCGAAGGAAGGCAGGGTATTTTAAGCCGTCGGAGGCGCCCAAAGACGGCTCGGGGCTATTATACCACAGCGAAAGTCAAGGAGACACTCCAATGGAAGGAAAGAGCCGCGTGAACAAGGGCTTGATTCGGGGAAGCTGGGGTTGCCTCAGTGTGCGCAGATAATCGCAGCCCTTCCGCCATCATCACGAGTCGGACGGAGGCAATACTTCAGACGCCCTGCGGCGCTTGACACAGCCAGAAGCCGAAGCACACGAAGGGACCAGTCAAGAACTATGCAGACGCACTTGCCAGCGAATGCGCGCGAGGAGCCATCTCGAACCTGACGGTGACGCGGAGCCGATGCAGACCGTGTGTATTTTGGAGAATCATCGCGGTGTAGAAGGCGCCGTACTGCCTTCCAGATGAGAATATAGAGGATAGAACGTGCCCCTTCAGGCGAAGAGAATTTCTTTGGTGCCCCCAAAGTACTTACGCTACCGGCGTGGCCGTTCGGAAACCGGCTGGAGGACGTAGACCGCGCGCACGATAAGCCCCAACACTGGCGCTGAGCGGGAGCGCATCCCGCTCCAGTAGAATGCACGCGCACGGGCCAGTTATCCGAGCGAAACACGTCCAGGAGAGCGGATTCACACGAAAGCAAGGAAACTGGCATATTGTATCTGCGTGTCGAGTGCGGGGAATTCGGTGAGACGTCCCCGACGTTGCGTTGGCGATTTGGTCTTTAGTGACACCGCAGGAGAACGAGTGGTCCAAGCGGAATGAGATAAATCTGCTTTGGAAAATGAAGCCAAAACGAGCGCTTCGAGCGGCAGCGAGCACCAAGTGCCGCAGCCTTGAGAAACATCGCGATGGTGAAGGACTGTGAAGTGAGAGAGGAATTTTTCCCGTGGCGTCGCTTACCCGCCCTGGCGATGGGATAGCCTGTAAGTGTTCCCGATGCATGTGCATCGCGCAGTTACCCCGAGGAATCACAGGCCGCCCCCCACTGACAGGCTTCCAAGAGCAAGCTTCGAGCCACCTAAGCCAGGAGAAGCGCGAGGGCACGCGTCGCATTCCTTGAGGCGAAACAAGTGAAAGCGCGTACGTCGACTCCGCGTAAGACCGCGAGTCGGTGACGGGCAAGGAGAACCGTACCGACCCAGCCTGCCAGGATCAGGAGACTATGCCGTTCGTTCGCCGGCGGGTCATCAAAGTCGGTCGGACAAGGATTGGACAAAGAGGTGCGGAAGGTCACGTCACACGCCTCCCGGATCCCACTGCCATCGTAAAAAATTCTACCTACCCTCCAGCGCCAAAACACTCAATTAATATATACACCCTCCCATACCTACATCATGATACAGGGTCTGCATTGTACACAACTACAGTTCGTTCGTTCGTTCGTTCGTTCGGCATACACAATTTTACACCCGGGAAGGCGGGTAGAGTCTCTCCTCTCTGCCTTTCCCTACTCACTCCCACCGAATCTGTTGGGACCAAGTGCGCAATGACTCCTTCCCATATCACCGCTCCGTCACGGCTCGGCCTTCCCAGACCCCACCTCAGGCGAATCACCCACAGACGGCACGACGCCCACGCGGACGAGCCCGACCTCGAGGTGCGGGAGGACCGGCGCGCCGTCCTCGTCGAGCACGAGCCACCCGGGCGGGGGCGACGCGTCGGGGAGCCACGTCGGCGTCGGGGGCGCTTGTGCTTGCTCTTGTGCTGCTTCTGCGGTTTGTGCTGATGGTGAGTGTGGAGGGGCGTCTGATGCGCTTTCTACTATTCGCGGCAGGGCGGAGAGCGAGGAGGCTGAGTGCGGCGCCGGCGGGGAATTCGGTGCGGGTGATAAAGACGAAGAGGTAGAAGAAGGCCCAGGTGGCGGCGGCACCGGCATCGCAATCAGCACCGCCACGCGCACGCGCGGCTGCTCCAATTCCAGCTCCGTCATGCCCGTCTCCTCTGTATTCGGGGTGCTACTCGACGTTTGGGCGGAGTTGGCGGACGCGGCGGCGGCGGCGGTGTTGGAGGAAGGCGCGGTGGCATTGGTATTTGCATTTGCGCTCGAAGCGGGCGGCAGCACGGGTGGGGGCGTGTAGGACGCTGCGAAGGGCTGAGAAAGAAAGGTTAGTCAGACATCGTCGGTGCGAGAAGAAGACGACTGAATCAAGGCAGCGGAAGAAGAATAAGAGTAAAGAGAGGAGCGGAGAAGAGGGAACGAGCGCGATAAAACATAGAAGAAACGAGCATAGAGGCAAGCGCGCGATAAAGCATGCAAGAGAATAGCAGAGGGGCACGGCATGGGGAGCCGGGGACGTGCACGAGGGGGGGAGGTCGATATACAGAGGCGTCGAGAGAGAGAACGAAGGGAGTAGAAGGAGGGAGTAGAAGGTGCAAGATATGCAGGTGGGCGAGCGGGCGCGACGACGAAGGAGGAACGGGACATGGAGCAGAGGCGGAGCGCGCGGGTGTGGACGCAGGACGAAAGGGCCACGCGCGGGAGCGGAGGAGGGGAAGGGGAGGGCATAAGAAGGAAGACAAGGCGCGCAGCGCAAAAGGACCTCGGAGAGCGACGGGTGTGGATACGCGCGACACAGGGCCGGTGCCCGCGGGAAGGGCGAGTATATGGGGCGGAGGGGACCGAGCGGGGAAGGGGGTGCAGGAAGTAGGGGAGCGATGCAAGGCGTCGGGCACGGCGGTAGGGTCGGGAGGGAGAGAAGATGCGGGCGTGAGCGGAAGAACGAGGCGGGCGAGCGGGCGAGGGGAGGGGATGCGGAAGGAGGGGGTGCGAAAGAAGGAAGGAGCGACACGCGGAGATCGATGATGGGGAAACGGAGATCGAAGGACGGGTACGCAGGGCGCGCAGCCGTAGGACAAACTACGCGCGCACCGCGCGGCGACGAGAGGGAAGGGAAGGGAGACGCGTGGCGACGGTGGTATGCACAGCGCGCGGGTTTAACGATCAACGGGGGAAGGACTGCGGACGGATGGCTTGGTCGGACGGATAGATGCGGATGGATGGGAGTATGGAGAGGGGACACGGCCCAGAAGATGATGCAGCAGATGCAGGGCGAGGGCGGGATGATGAGAAGGGGGGAATGATGAGAAGCCGGACAGACGATAGATGGATGAATGAATGGAAGGAGGGAGGGAGGGACATGTACGCCAGATGCCTGATAGATGGAATGGATGGTGTCCCCGGGGGCGCCGTGAAGGGAGAACAAGGGCGGAAAGGCGGCGGATGGCAGGGATGGGATGGGATAGGTAGAACGGGGAGAGATGGAGGGGGGGACGCGAAGGGGAAGGTGTACGAGCCGTCCCTGCGCCGACGAGGGGGATCGATGTGCAAGGAGGAAGCAGGAAGGAAAGGCAGACCACGGAGGGCAAAGAAAAATAAAAATAAAAATAAAAATAAGAAATAGAAGAAAAACCGACCATAATCGCCTCCCAGTCGTCCTTCTCCCCGCGCACGCCCGGCACCACGGGCGGCGCAAGGTACGCGTCCCACAGTCTTGGCTTCTTCTTTAAATCGACCTTCACGCGCGGCGCGGGCGGGATCCACGTCCCGTCCGCGATGGCGGCCTCGACCATGCGGCGGTGACGCCGCCGGAGCAGCAGCGAGCGAAAGACGATCGCGGAGGAGACACCGAGCAGGAGGATGAGCGTCGCGAGGAAGGTATACACTGCCCCGCACGCAAATCAGCTTGAGGGTGCGAGGAGAAGGAGGGACGCACGGTAGAGCTGCGCAGACGACTGCGGGTTGTTGTCCGACGGTCCGCCGCCACCGCCGCCAAACCCGCCGCCCCCGCCACCGGTAGCGGTGGGTAGTATGGGCGGCGAGTCGGTCGGGAAAGTCGATGACGGGAATCCGGTGAATGACGACGAGGTGGAGTTCGTGGAGGCCGACGGCAAGACGGACGCAGAATCCGAGCGTGAGCTGCTGCGCGCGGACGAGGTGCGCGACGTCGTCGTATCAGCCATGGTGGGAGTTCAGAGTCAGTCAGAGTCGAGAAAAAGCAGCGCGGATCCCAGGTAGCAAGCAGTAGCCGTTGATTATTCGGTTGTTATGGGGAACAGAAGCCCGTTCTCGCTAGCGGAAGAGAGACTCGGTCGCCGGCAGCAGTGTGCTCGTCGTCGTCGTCGTCGTCGACGTGGAGCTGCGCACGACGGAAGGGAAGCAAAGGTGTACAGTAGACAAAAGGAATTGATTGTAAGCACGTCGGATGACATTGACAATCACGTCATCATCTGCCTCGGCCGTGGAAACCAAACTATTCTTGGTCTCGCCGTTTTGCGTCTTAACTGCAGTTCTTTCCATATATTCACGAAAATATTCGAGGCGACGCGCTGGTCTGTGTTGAAGCGCTAGTCCCGAGTCCAAAGTAATTGCGCCCGCAGTGAATTTTCTATTTGATATTCATCTTGGTAAGCGCGGTGACCTCACGTTTCAACCCCGCTGCGGACAGTGTGAGTAAGAATCCATTTTAGGTGCGGTGCTGCATTACCTGCCCCATGCAGCATGGGGGAAACGCGGTACACAGCTTTTAATTCGTCCGCTCGTACGAGGGAATTAAAATCTGCGGAGCTCTGCCGAGTACGGTGATTTTTTCCTCTGGCAAGTTGCAACTCAGTAACGAGTATTCACTTTCTCTAGCACTCCACCAGCTGCGAAACAGACCAAGAAAAGCAGTGTAGTGTATTGTGCACGCGGGGGTATCTTGCAAAGGTCGGCCAAGTCCGACAACCCCGAGATCCTTGTTCGAATCAAGGTGCTGCTATATTAGGTGCGGGCGGAATTTATTTTTATCCCTAGCTTCGCCAGGATTTTCTAGCACTTCGCAACCTCTAGAACAGAGCATGGAAAGCAGTATGGTGTAATGCGCCCATGGGACTCCTTGTTCGAAGCAAGGTGCTGCTCTTCAAATTTTCTTCGTCTTTGTTTTCTTCCTCAACTCGAGCAAAGATTTTGTGCATTTCACCGACCGTGAAACAAGCAATGGAAAGCAGTGTGGTGTACCGTGCACACGGGGGTTCCATGATATCGCATCGTTTGCTAACTTTACCCCGAGGTCCTTGTTCGAACCAAGGTGCTGCTCTATGTATCAGTCTTCTTGAGATACTTTTTGTTGCAATGCTCACACAATTCCCTAGCACTCCACCACCCTTGAAACAAGACTATAAAAGCAGTATGGTGTATTGTGCACGCGGGGGTATCGTACGGAGGTCGGGAAATTCAACCCCGAGGTCCTTGTTAGAACCAAGGTACTGCTCTTACATTCCCGCTTCTTCTTTTGCTTCGGCAGCTCATCCAGAAATCCTTTTAGCACTAATCCACCTGCGAAATAGCCGAAGGAAGTAGTATGGTGTATTGTGCACACGGGAATTCTTTACATGATAACAAATTACATTACTCCCGACGTCCTTGTTCGAACCAAGGTGCTGCTCTTTGACACGCTTATAACATTTTTTTCTTTCTCGGTTCACTCATAATTTCTAGCACTCCACTGAGTCCAGAACGGAATATGGAAAGCAGTGTGGTGTATCATGCACACGGGGCTTCCTTCATCCTGTCGATAGGTGTTGATCCCGAGGTCCTTGTTCGAACCAAGGTGCTGCTCTTCGGATATCTCTATCTCCTTTTTTGCTCGCCGGCTCATCCAAAATTTTCTAGCACTCCCCCGAGTGCAGAACAGAGACAAGAAAGCAGTATGGTGTATTGTGCACGCGGGGTACTATTGTGCCCTTCCGAGAGGTGAACCCCGAGGTCCTTGTTCGAACCAAGGTGCTGTTCTGATCCCTCTTCATCCTCTTTTTGTTTTTGTTTTCTGAGCTCTGGCAGGACTCTTTAGCACTCCACCACCTGAAGAACAGACCAATAAACGCAGCATGGTGTAGTGTGCACACGGGGTTTCTTTAGTCACATCCGCTTAGAATAACCCCGAGGTCCTTGTTCGAATCAAGGTGCTGTTCTTCGGATCTCTCCATCTTCTTCCTTTTCTTCCTGAACTCGAGCAAAGATTTCGTGCACTCCACCACCAGTGAAATAGACCAAGGAAAGCAGCATGGTGTATTCTGCACACGGGGTCTCTTTAGTCAGATCCACACAAAATCACCCCGAGGTCCTTGTTCAAATCAAGGTGCTGCTCTGTACTTTCCCGTTCGCTTTTTTTTATTGAGGTACAGCTCAAATAAATGTCTAGCATGATACCGAGGGCAAAATAGGGTATAGAAAGCAGTATGGTGTATTGCGCACACGGGGTTTCCTTGATCCTGTCGACAGGTGTTGATCCCGAGGTCCTTGTTCGAATCAAGGTACTGCTCTGACCCGCCACTCGTCTCTTTTTGCTAGCACAACTCATCCAAAATTATAGCACTCCACCAGCCGCGAAACAGGCCAAGGAAAGCAGCATGGTGTATTGTGCACACGGGGCTTCCTTAATCCTGTCGACAAGTGTTGATCCCGAGGTCCTTGTTCGAATCAAGGTGCTGCTCTAGGAGTTCTTAACCCCACCTTTTTTTTTCTCCCTCAGCTCAAGCAAAAATTTCATGCCCTCAACCAACCGTGAAACAAGCCATGGAGGGCAGTGTGGTGTATTGTGCACACGGGGCTTCTTTTCTCAGATATGGCAGAAGTACATAACCCCGAGGTCCTTGTTCGACTCAAGGTGCTGCTGTAGGTATCTACAATATTACCTTTTCTCCTTCAGCTCCAGCCAAAATTCTAGCACTCCACCACCCTTGAAACAAGACCAGAAAAGCAGCATGGTGTATTGTGCACACGGGATTTCATTGGAAGTCTTTATCGAGCCTATCGATTCCTGTGGTCCTTGTTCGACTCAAGGTGCTGCTCTTGGCTGACTGTGTCTTCTTTTTTCATTGTTGTAATAGCACTGTCGCCGGGCTCTCATGGCTCCCTAGCACTTCACAAGCTGCAAACCAGACCAAGAAAAGCAGTGTGGTGTATTGTGCACGCGGGGTATCTCTGAAGTTAGCGAAGTTAGCAAACTGTGACCCCGAGGGCCTTGTTCGAATCAAGGTGCTGCTCTAAAAGATTGCCCTCTCAATTTTTTTATTACAGTACAGCTCGAACACATCTCTAGCATGCTACTGAGCGCAAAACAAGGGCTGGGAAGCAGTGTGGTATTGTGCACACGAGGTCCAGATGCATGGCCAAAACGTGTGATTACCCCGAGGTCCGTCTTCGAACCAAGGCGCTGCTATAGGTCTGAATACCAGTCCTTTTTCCTTCTACAGCCTGAGCTGACACAGTTTCGAGCATACTACAGGGTGAAAAAAGGGGGTTCGGAAAGCAGCATGGTGCATCGTGCACACGGGGATTTCTTACGAAGACTTGAGCATCGAACAGACACCCCGAGGGCCTGGATGCTGCTCTGATTGTTGAACTGTACACCCTTTTCCCCCTCCAGCTCATCCAAGAATTTCTAACAGTCCACTGACTCCAGAACAGAGCAAGGAGAGTAGTATGGTGTACTGTGCACACGGGGCTTCCTTGATCTGGTCGAGAAGAATTACCCCGTGGTCCTTGTTTGAACCAAGGTACTGCTTTGAGCGTCCTTCGCCGCCTTTTGTCTTGCTAGCCCATTCGAATTTCTAGGATTCCACTGAATCCAGAACAGAGTAGGGAAAGCAGTATGGTGTATTGTGCACACGGGACTTAATTCTTCTATGACTGCTACTGATTAATCATTGAGATCCTTGTTCGACTCAAGATGTTGCTATTCGCAAAGTCTTCGATTATTATTTTTTTTTCCCTTCAGCTCGATCGAAAATTTTGTGCACTCCACCAACCTTGGATCAGAGGAGAGAAAGCAGTGTGGTGTATTGCGCACACGGGGTTTTATTGCATGTTGAGTATGAATTCAACTCTGAGGTCCTTGTTCGAACCAAGGTGCTGCTCTAAACTTGGCTTCCTTCTTTTCTTTTCTTTTTTTTGAAGTGCAGCTCAAACGAATATGTAGCATGCTACCGAGCCGAGGGGGAAGCAGTGTGGTGTATTGCGCATATGGGGATTTCTTTCAGGAGCAAGAAGTACATAACCCCGAGGACCTTGTTCGAATCAAGGTGCCGCTCTAGGCTTCAGTCTTTCGAATTCTTTTTCTTTCCGAGTTCACTCAGAATTTCTAACACTCCACCGACCGCGAAGCGTTGTATGTAAGTAAAGCAGTGTGGTGTCCACGCGGGGTTTCTTGACGTCTAGAAGTGTGGTCACTCCCGAGGTCCTTGTTCGAACCAAGGTGCTGCTCTAAACTTGACTCCGTCACACCGACGAAACAGGATACGTACTGAAAGTAGCATGGTGTATTGCGCACACAAGTAGCGTGGTGTACGGCACACGGCGTATCATTATAGCATTGTATTGTACACGCGGGGGACCAATGAGAGAGCAGCCATGATGGCCACCCTGAGGCGGGCGGGATGGTCGCGAGAAGGAGGAAGGAGGCCGCAGGGAAGGGAGGGAAAGGGAAGGACGGGTAGGCGGAAATCAATGGACGGGTACGCGGAGCGCGAAGATGGAGGCGGCGCGCCCAGCCATAGGAGGAGCTACACACGCATGCGCGCGCCGCGACGAGAGGGGACGTGTGGTGATGGTGGTAATGGTCGCGGTGGGCGGGGGTGATAAAGAACAGGGACGTGGCCGCCGCCGAGGCCGAAGACGCGAAGATGGACGTGCGACAAATGTAAGGGAAGATGTCGAGCCACCCGGACGGACAGATGGACGGACGGTCGGACGGACGGTATGCATGCATGCAGAGTGAGGCAGGTGTGATGTAGGGAAGGAAGAGGGACGATATCCGGAACAGATGATGTGTGAAGGGAAAGGAGGGAGGAAAGGCGGCGGATCATAGGGATTTGCGGGGGGAGATGGAAGAGGGGGACGAGGGGCACGGGACTATCCCCGCGCCGACGAGGGGTTCGAGGGACGGCGCAGAATGCGACAGAGGACGAGAAAAAAAAGCAGAAAAACCCACCATAATCGCCTCCCAATCGTCCTTCTCCCCGCGCGCGCCCGGCACCACGGGCGGCGCGAGGTACGCATCCCACAGCCTTGGCTTCTTCTTTAAATCGACCTTCACGCGCGGCGCCGGCGGGACCCACGTCCCGTCCGCGATGGCGGCCTCGACCATGCGGCGGTGGCGTCGCCGGAGCAGCAGCGAGCGCACGAGGATCGCGGAGGAGACGCCCAGCAGGAGGATGAGCGTCGCAAGGAAGGTGTATACTGCCCCGCAGGCAAATCAGATTGAGGGTGAGAGGAAGAGGCTGTGAGGCGAAGGGGACGCACGGTACAGCTGGGCAGACAACTGTGGGCTGTTGTCCTGCCCGCCCCCGCCCCCGCCAAAGCCGCCGCCACCCCCGGTGGCGGTAGGCAGCACAGTCGGCGAGTCGGTTGGGAAGGCCGATGGCGGGAATCCGCTGAATGACGTAGACGAGTTGCTAGATGCGGACGGCGAGCTCGTCGCAGAGCCCGAGCGCGAGCTGCTGCGCGCAGATGACGAGGAGCGCGACGTCGACGTATCAGCCATGGTGGGAGCTCAGAGTCGAGAAAAAGCAGCGCGGATCCCAGGTAGCACGGTTGTTATGGGGAACAGAAGCCCGTTCTCGCTAGCTATTACACTGAAGAGAGACTCAGTCGCCGGCAGCGGTGTGCTCGTCATCGTCATGGGCGGCGGCGTGGACCGGGAGCGGCACACGACGGAAGGGAAGCAAAGCTGTAGACAAAAGGAATTGGCAGGTCGGATGACAATCACGTCATCAATCTCCTTCGGCCGTGCAAGTCGAACTATCCTTGGTCTCGCCGTTGTGCATCTCGCCTCCGTCCAGTTATTTACGAAAATATTCGAGGCGATGGGCTGGTCTACGTTGGAGCGCCAGTCCCGGTCCTGAGGCATTTGCGCCCGCAGTGAATATTCTATTTGATATTCATCTGGACTTCCTCGTAAGCGCGGTGACCTCACGTTTCAACCCCGCTGCGGACAGTGAGCAGGAATCCTTTTTGGGTGCGGTGCTGTATTACCTGCCCCATGCAGCATGTGGGCAACGCGGTACACAGCTTTCGTCCACTCGTACGCGGAAACTTGTATAAATCCTACGGAGCTGCTAGCCTCTCCCGAGTATAGTTGAGTTTAACTTTCTAGCACTCCATCAGCTGCAAAACAGACCAGGAAAAGCAGCATGGTGTAATGTGCACACGGGATTTCGTTAGTCCGCGATTTAGATTTACTTACTAATCCCGAGGTCCTTGTTCGAATCAAGGTGCTGCTCTATGTTTGAATTCTTTCTCTTTTTTCTAGCACAGCTCATCTGATTATCAAGCACCTCACCGCCTCTAGAACAGAGCATGGAAAGCAGCATGGTGTATTGTGCACACAGGGGTACATTCACGATATAGAAGCGCTCCGCCCCGAGGTCCTTGTTCGAATCAAGGTGCTGCTCCGACCCACCACTCTTCCCTTTTTTCTGGCGCAGCTCGCACAATTTGCTAGCACTCCACCACCTAAAAAATAGGGTATAGAAAGCAGTATGGTGTATTGTGCACCCGGGATGTCATTACAAGCCTGTCTCAGCTGGTTGATTCCTGAGGTCCTCGTTCGAATCAAGGTACTGCTCTTTGCTTCGTTTTCCTTACCTTTTTTTCTAGCACAGCACCAGGGAATGGGTCTAGCACTCCATCACCTGTGGAATAGACCAAGGAAAGCAGTATGGTGTATTGTGTACGCCAGGGTTTCTTAACGATGTTGAAAGCCCAACCTCGAGGTCCTTTTTTGAATCAAGGTGGCTGCTAGTCTCTCGTAGACAGACGCTACAAACGAAGGAGCTCGTACCTCGCAGGCCAGTGTTTGTAGGTGCTCTGACCTAGGATTCTTCTTTTTTTCTCATAGTGTGGTGTACTGAGCACACGGTTATAAGACATAAAAACCACTGATGTGCTCACGGCGTGTCTGAGTGTGTGAAGAAATGCAATGAAGATCAAACTCAACACTTTGATGGCCAAGACACCAATGTGCGAGTGGGTCAAACCATGCTCAGGACTCCGGCACTCCGGGATGGCATTGAAGATGGGGATGTGCAAAGATGAGTCGTTGGCGAGGGCAGCGGTGGGATGTATGAATTGACTATAGGCGATGAGGGACAAGATGAGGGTGACGACTTGAAGCATGAGCAATGACAAAGGCTCAGAGGCAGCGAAGGAGATCTACCGTGTGGGGCACAATTTCTCTACTCTACATCGGCAAGTACAGTGGCTGTTTATAGTAAACGGGTGGGAAAGGACTAGCTAAAATAGACTGCACAGCAACATATATGACTCGGATAGTATCCAAAACTCCGTACGGACTTTGGTGAGCGGAGATCGTACCTCCGAGAAAGAAGAACCGTGAGAAAGTAGAGGTCGTGAGAGCTACGGAGGCCGGACTTTGGTGAGCGGAGGTTGTACCTCCGAGAAATAGCAACCATGAGGAAGGTGGAGGTCGAAAGGGAATATGCCAAACGCGAGAACTCCGGATACAGGAAGCGCTTGTGCGCATCACCGCCAAACACACATTTTGTGACCTTTCAGTGCAAAGTCCACCGTGACATGGCCACGGTATCATGATATATTGCAAGGATAGTGTGCAGCATGATCAATCGGGCCTCGGAGGGAATCCTGGTTAGGGTTCAGAGATGTGTCCATTGCCGATGTCCATGAAAGATGGACTGAGGACAATACAAATGGGGCAAGATAGTGATGACTGACTGCCAGCCTGAGCAGAGTTCGCGATGCAGGAACAAGACTCGATCGCAAAGGTGACACTAACACCGATCAAGCCCATACTGTACTATTTCGACCGAGTGTTCGGCCTATGTCACGCATCACCTAAGGTGTTCACTTTTTCAAGTGTTCATTCTGACAAATCCCATCAATAGTTACCATAAATGGCAGTCCGGCGAATGGCGGACCGATTTTTTTGGCGTTTTTTGAGCCTATTTGGGCCACAAAACCCAATGTCACTGTCACCAGTACCCAAAGTGTTCAGTTCAGAGGTCCGCGTCACGCGTCACTTGAACACTTGGTCGAAATAGTACAGTAGTCGGATGCTAAGGTATCCGTGGTGGTGGGATGCCACGTACGAGATCTCTCACCCCGGGATCAACGCAAACTGCCACAGTTCATCGTAATGTTCGATATCCCGATTAGGATCTGTGTGAGGTCCCAGGTATCCGCTAAAAAAATTTGCAGACGGGGTGAATCATGATGAACTCCATTGTGGGTGAAACATTGGTTGGAACAACTTTTAGAGACCAGAAGACGAGTAAATCCTAAACCAAGTTGGGGCAACACAGAGAAAGTCATTCGTGAATGGTTCCTTAAGCCCTAGACCGGCTTGCTTGGAATCTCGTCCAGGGAATACAAACCCAGAAGGATTCCCATGGATCTGTGCGAATCATGATGGAAATGACTTCTTTGAATCGCCCTGTCCTATGGCCACTGGATTGGGTGACAGCACCACCATCATGTCCCTAGAGATGAGCTTCAAAAACGCAATAATTGGCAATCCACTAGATAATTTTGTGGGGACCAGCTTCCGAAAGCCAGGGAAATAAAATGGAGTAGTTGGATGCTTGAAGTCGATCCCAATATCAAATAAATCCACTGGAAAACATCGTGAGCCACTGGCAATCAGGTCAGAGGCCCACCAACGGGGTCTAGTGGATTACAGCGGGAGCCGATCGGCACGGGCATCACTGCATTATGCCGCTAGGACATAGGGAATTCGCCTGCTTAGAATGTTGCTTGAGTATTGAATGCTACTTGATGTGTGCAGGGAGGCGCACTGCTTATACCTGCGAGAGAAGTGCTATGGCTTGTGACTGTGCAGTGGCGTGTGATCGTGACCCTCTTATGAGATCATTTTTCGATATTTATTCACACTCCATGTCCACAGTCCTTGGAATTAGGGCTGTTCGTCGTACCGTATACGGTGTACGGCCGTATATCGACGGTTGTGATACGGGCACCATTCCGGCCGAAGCCGTACCGTACAGGAAGAATCTTGGACGCTGTACGGTACAGTACGGTACCGTATTACGGCCGTATACGGCATCACCAAAAGCGGGGGAATGTGTTATTCCTTTGTGACTTGGCATCAAGCCGGTGGGGGTTTACCATGGTTTTTGATGGTTTATAATCTTCCACCAAGCTGGTAGGGTGTTTACAGACTGCTGTAATCATTATATTGAGAGATTGTAAAGGTACATATTCCTGGTAGTCCCGGAGCAGGATTTTCAAAGATGGGGCCAGGGCTTGCATAGTATACTAGTAATCGACTGTTGGTCTTGAATCATGTCGCGATACCAACAAATCTTTTAAGGTGATTCCTAGATCCGCATTCTCATCAAATTCAGCATAGGAGCCGAGTCCTACGCCCAACGAAGGATACGCCCGCGCTCAGGCGCGTCGCGGCACGGGGCCAATTCCCATAGTAGCTTAATTCAGGCAGCTCTGTATACAGGGGCAGATATTATAAAAATGATTACGAGTACTTATGTAATCGTTCTTTTAATCAATCGAGATGAGCTTTTGGCATGCTCGTTGCATTTTGTCCCCATCTATTCGTGTAATAAATTGATGGCATTTTGAATGCCCACTAGTGGCTGTGTTGAAGGGAAGCCACCGACGATGCTTCATTTTTTCTTACTCTCATAGTGGCAGTGTTTGCTTGTGTAATCCATCTTACCAGCGTCTGTGATTCGATCCGACCGCTTTGCCTTTTGTAAAAAAATTTTAAAACCTTCCTCTGTTCGATTTTTCCTGATATATATACTCTCTATAAATTCTGTCTTGTGATCTTCTTTATTTCACCATGAGCATCAACTCGTACGTTCTGTAAAAAATGTACGTCTCATTACTTTTTACACATTCGGCATTCGTGGTAATAAGACCACCCTTTGAGCTGGAAATGTCTTTAAAATGTAGCGAAAAGATGTCTGGAGGTGCCATTCTCGGATGGAGTTGGCCAAGCAGTGTTCCTCTGTTATAACAGTTTGGATGGATTTTTTGTCACGTGCGCCCTGTCCCTAAATACCGCCGCATATGAAACCCCTGGCACCACCCTCCTTTCTTATGTCTCCACCGCTGCACGAATATTTCCTCAATGCGCTCACTACTTTCCTTCATGATAATCTGTTGGCTCTATGTCAAGAAGTCAATTTTCAATCTCAATTCTAGCCCCCATGTCCGCCCTGTCGATGCTGTTACTTCCTTCTCTCCCGACACCCTGCATCAATCCGACGTACGAAGAGATCCACAGTCTATCTGTCCTGTTCCAACGGGATCCCACTGTAAACCATATTTGTATTCGCCGCCCCTAATTATTAACTTAGCTGCTTTTTTTTTTTCAGGTCCGTGTCGTTCGTTCTTTGAACTTCTTGACATCGAGACTCACTGCCAAGCTGGCAAACACCAACTGCAATATAATATCCGGCCATGAGTCGGAGGCAACCAGGGAGGAAAGGGCTGAATGGAAGAGTCTGATGCCAGTCCGTCTCAGCTTCACCGAGGCTCGACTTCCACTACTCGACGACCAAACAATCCCGACAACTTTGATCATTATATTCTGCATCCAGTGCCCTATCATACAGATGGCGCCAAACACTTCCATCGCTAATCTGATCAAGTTCGAATGGGGTGGGAACGTGATCGTGCTAAAAAAAGCGGGTGCTCATCTGAAGGACTGCACTCCAGAAGACATTGTGCCCGCGATTGAATCAATTAAAAGGTGAGCTGAACCTTCCTTATAGCTCCTCCTTGCTAACCCACACCAGCCTGATGGCCAACATGAATGCGACCCGCGTTGATCGTCGGCGCTCTTCAACGCATTCTCCCCTTCCCCTGCAGCGCACGAAATCGGCCCCTGCCCTCGGCAGATTCTTCTATTTGACTGGCTCAACTTATTATAGTTATGTCTTCATTTGTACCTACTGTTTTTAGCTGCTGTAGAGGTCATGCAATTAGACGTGAGAATTGACTTGTAAAACATGTTGTAAAACAAAAAGATTACATAAGTACGAGTTTTGCCGGGCTGCGCCATGGCCTCACCCCCAAGTGATAATTGGTGACCTATCATAGTGGCAAGGTTTAGAATGTTGGGAGGTTGGGTATGCCGCGACCTGCCGACGAGAAGTGGGAGATCAAAAGGTCCGTGCACATTGTTTGGGCTTGCGTCTCCGATCACGTGCAAGTTGATCCCGCGTCGTGAGTGCGTCGTGTCGCATCTTTCTTCCTC